TGCAAAAAAGGGCAAGAAAATGGCCGTTAGAAAAGAAAGGTCATTATCTTATACAGGTTAGAGCAGGTTTGACCGGACGTAGAAAACAGCCTGGGAAATGTACACAAGAAGCAAGGCGAGCCGTAATCCATACCCTTGTTTCCCTAACTCCTTGCGCAAAGATTTGCTTCAGTGCCTTGTTCTTAAAATCATACGTGGGTGGTTGGCGGGTGCTCTGGTGTGGTCTGCTTCTTCTTTCCTGTCAAACATCTATTGCCTGTATCTCCCCTCCTTCTTTTTTGTTTTTGTTACTCCCTTGTAACACATCTAATCTTCTGGCGCTCATATGACCTTATGCAGTTGCGAGTGCCGTAAAACTCTTACAAAAAAAATAAAACTAAACAAAAAATCATAAGTCGAAATTGTCTGAGACGGCCGTCCACTGTCGAGGAGAAAAGTGGTTGTTTTAGACAGGTGGACGTTACATTCCGTTTCATAAAAGGCCTAACGTAAAAATAACGGGCAAGGGAAAAGGCTGTTTGAAAAGGTGGTCGACTTGGACGTCGGGTATATTAGTACAGCCTGTGTATTGTACACAAGAAGCAAACGTCTAGCAACCTAATATAGTATTCTGTTCCCCTGGTTCTCTGCGTAAAGAACTGCTTTAAAGCCACGTTCTTAAAATCGTAGTCGAAATGGTCTGAGGTCACCACCCGTGGTCGAGGAGAAAAGTGGTTGTCTCGATCTTAGACAGACGGACGCTTTATTTGGTGTCATTATAATGTAAAAATAAATACATTAATAAATACATAAATACATTAATAAATAAATGAATACGCAAGGAAGGAAATTGGAAATGGCCGTTTGTACAGATGATAAAAAAAAAAGAAAATAGAATTCCGTAAGAGCAGGTACATCTGTATATAGAAGAGCCTGGGAAATGTTTATCAACCAAACGGCCGGCAGGATGCCCTGTTCCTCCAGTCCCCTGTGAAAAGATCGACTTCAACGCTCCATTCCTAAAACAAAGCTGCCAACTTTTCCAAACCAAAGAAAACCAGACTCTACGCACAGGGCAGACCAAGATGGTGAGCCTTGTCAAGTAAGTTTTTGTATGGAGGGTTAAACCGTGGATAGTTGGCATGTGCTTTTGTGTGATTGGCTCCTTCTTTCCTATAAAACGTCATCTCTCGTCTCTATCTGTCCTCCTCCTTTTCAATGTGTGTTACTCTCTACAAACACCTCTCATACTCAGCACTTATAATTTGGTCCTAAAAGAGTTGCAAGTGACACAAAACTTTTAGTTTAGTTTTAGTAAATGTTTAACAGCACTTGCAACACAATAAGGTCATATAAGTACCGAACATTAGAGGTGTTACAAGAGAGTAACAAACACAAAAAAGAAGGAGAGGAGATAAAGACGATAGATGTCAGATAGGAAAAAGAAGCAAAACCACATCAGAGCACCTGCCAACCAATCACCGCAGAACTCTACTCAAACTAAACTGAAAAGGAAGCCTAAAGTAGACATTTATTATCGACTCCTCTTCCCAGACCTCCCTGCTCCCCACTCCTCCTGTGCTGTTACTGAAAAAGATCGAGCAAACCACACCAGAGCACCAGCCAACTACTCATCTGCGAACTAGGTATAATAAATCGTATACTTATATATTATAATAAACACACACACACACACACACACACACACACACACACACACACACACACACATATATATATATATATAAAACAAGAGACGCCAGGCCGACCAAAAGCTTACTGAGGCGAGGGGAAACACAATCCCGGGTGGGTACCTCCTAGCTACAGAGACCGGACCCTGCTGGGAGCCAGTTTGGTCAGTCAGCACCCGCCAACCACCAACCAATAGACGTTTAATAAAGAAGAACGAGCAAACCACACCAGAGCACTTGCCAACCACCCACCAAAAGATGTTTGATAGGAAATAAGATTGGGTAAACCACACCAGAGCACCCGCCAACCACCCATCTGCGCATTGGGTATATAATACATGAAATCTTCTACTTATAATATATATTATATCACGAGTCTCGGCCACTCGAGGGGTAAAACAAGAGACGCTAGGCCGACCAAAAGCAAACTGAGGCGAGGGGAAACACAATCCTGGGTGGGTACCTAGTACCTACAGAGACCGGCCCCTGCTGGGAGTCAGTTTGGTCAACACTTAGATAACGGTAAGTGCGGGGAGTGGTCTGAACGAGGTATGTGTGTGTGTGTGTGTGTGTGTGTGTGTGTGTGTGTGTGTGTG